AATGCGATAGCTCGATATGTTGCTGCTACCTTTACCGGTGTGGCAACGGCGGTCACATGGTCCCCCTCTCGAAGTCCTGCAGCTTGCAGAGACTCCGTAGGATCCACCATATGATTATTTGCAGTCACAAGCCTCAAGAAGCCACACTGAAAGGATTTCTGTGCCAGAACCCTCAAGTCCCCGACTTTGGAGGACTGCGGAAGAGAAAATGTCTCACTGCGACCACTTGGCAAAGCTACATTGAGTTGCAACATTTCGCCAACGTTCAAAGCATCTGAAAACTAGCAGTTCTTCCCACTGATCTTGAGCCAGACTGCACCATGCGGATGTTGGTGACCACCATGAACCTGCTCCATCCTACCTGGTGCTTTTGGCTGCAAATCGCTGTTAGCGTTCAGGGTCTTTTCAATTCAGCCATTGTTTTCTTTATCTTAAATTCCATTTGTAATACTGTACGTATATACAGGAGAAACTTTCATGCTCTACGGTAGAATGGTCTGCATCAGCCGCTTGCAAATATCGTCTCCTAGCAGGGCACGAAGAATTACTACAATGGTTTTGGAGAATGTCTGACATAGCAGCAGGGGTGTTTTCCTACACAGCCCATGCTCGGGTGTTGAACCAGCGCAATTGGGACTCAGGACTTTTTAACATTAAGCAACAAAAACACGATTTTTTCAACCAACTACTCTTGCGGTCTTGAACCAACAGAATTAAAGTTGTAAAAAAGAAAACCTTTTACACGTCGTTTCCAAGCAAACATGTGGTTTCGACCAGCAACATACCTCGCAATGCATCAGGAGCTAACCCGTCAAAGTTGGGGATTTCAAACAGCTTAGTCAATGCGAATGGGAACAAAAACCAATAGCGCCCAATCACTACCAATAACTGGAGGTTTGCCTAAGGGTTGATTGAGATCATAGCCTACGACCAATTGGGAGCCATCATCTCAGGATGATCAGGGACAGAAATAGTGGGGACATCAGGATACAGCCAACACAAATGCGAATGACTGGTTGGCGCGTCCTTCAACGAGATGCTCTCTGGCCTTTTCAAACAGCAAAATGTCTTGGCAATTCTGGAGAGACCTTGCTACAAATATGCAATTCCAGTGTCACTACAAAACCTTGGATCGCCCCAAGTCACAACCGATCCATCTGCAAGGATCGCAGCAAATGCACGATCAGTTGCAAGAACCTGCTGGACACCCTTGAGCTGATCTTTGACTCCAGAGCTGTCACCACCAAAATCTGGATTGCCCCAAGTCACGACCGATCTACCCGCAAGGATCGCAGCAAATGCGCGACTAGTTGCGTGAACCTGCTGGACACCCTTGAGCTGATCTTTGACTCCAGAGCTGTCACCACCAAAATCTGGATTGCCCCAAGTCACGACCGATCCATCTGCAAGGATCGCAGCAAATGCACCATCAGTTGCGTGAACCTGATGGACACCCTTGAGCTGATCTTTGACTCCAGAGCTGTCACCACCAAAATCTAGATTGCCCCAAGTCACAACCGATCCATCTGCAAGGATCGCAGCAAATGCTAAAGAAGTTGCGTGAACCTGCTGGACACCCTTGAGCTGATCCTTGACTCCAGAGCTGTCACCACCATAATCTCGACAGCCCCAAGTAACAACCGATCCATCTGCAAGGATCGCAGCAAATGCAAGACCAGTTGCGTGAACCTGATGGAAACCCTTGAGCTGATCTTTGACTCCAGAGCTGTCACCACCACAATCTGGATCACCCCAAGTCACAACCGATCCATCTGCAAGGATCGCAGCAAATGCAAGACCAGTTGCGTGAACCTGCTGGACACCCTTGAGCTGATCTTTGACTCCAGAGCTGTCACCACCACAATCTGGATTGCCCCGAGTCACAACCTGATTGCCTCCACAACACCACAATGCGATAGCACCACGTGTTGCTGCTACCTTTAGCGGTGTGGCAATGGCTGTCAGATGGTCCCCCTCTCGAAGTCCTGCAGCTTGCAGAGACTCCGTAGGATCCACCATATGATTATTTGCAGTCACAAGCCTCAAGAAGCCACACTGAAAGGATTTCTGTGCCAGAACCCTCAAGTCCCCGACTTTGGAGAACTGCGGAAGAGAAAATGTCTCACTGCGACCACTTCGCAACGCTACATTGAGTTGCAACATTTCGCCAACGCTCAAATCATCTCAAAACTAGCAGTTCTTGCCACTGATCTTGAGCCAGACTGCACCATGCGGATGTTGGTGACCACCATGAACCTGCTCCATCCTACCTGGTGCTTTTGGCTGCAAATCGCTGTTAGCGCGTTCAGGGTCTTTTCAATTCAGCCATTGTTTTCTTTATCTTAAATTCCATTTGTAATACTGTACGTATATACAGGAGAAACTTTCATGCTCTACGGTAGAATGGTCTGCATCAGCCGCTTGCAAATATCGTCTCCTAGCAGGGCACGAAAAATTACTACAATGGTTTTGGAGAATGTCTGACATAGCAGCAGGGGTGTTTTCCTACACAGCCCATGCTTTGCGCTTCGCTTTTGAAGTGGAAGGTTCAACAAAAAAAAGGTGATTTCAATCAACGAATTTGTTGATTTGTCAAGCAGAAAAATGGTTTCGATCAACAGAATCTGGGCCGGAATCTGACACATATTCGGGTGTTGAACCAGCGCAATTGGGCCTCAGGACGTTTTAACATTAAGCAACAAAAAAATAACATTTTCAACCAACTACTCTTGCGGTCTTGAACCAACAGAATTAAAGTTGTAAAAAAGAAAACGTTTTACACGTCTTTTCCAAGTAAACATGTGGTTTCGACCAGCAACATACCTCGCAATGCATCAGGAGCTAAACCGTCAAAGTTGGGGATTTCAAACAGCTTAGTCAATGCGAATGGGAACAAAAACCAATAGCGCCCAATCACTACCAATAACTGGAGGTTTGCCTAAGCGTTGATTGAGATCATAGCCTACGACCAATTGGGAACCATCATCTCAGGATGATCACGGACAGAAATAGTGGGGACATCAGGATACAGCCAACACAAATGCGAATGACTGGTTGGCGCGTCCTTCAACGAGATGCTCTCTGGCCTTTTCAAACAGCAAAATGTCTTGGCAATTCTGGAGAGACCTTGCTACAAATGCGCAACCTGAGCTGCAATTGCAGAGCTGTGCCTACAAAACCTTGGATCGCCCCAAGTCACAACGGATGTGTCCGCCAGGATGGCAACATATCCCCGTTCTGTTCCTTCAACCTGCTGGACACCCTTGAGCTGATCTTTAACTCCAGAGCTGTCACCACCACAATCTGGATTGCCCCAAGTCACGACCGATCCATCTGCAAGGATCGCAGCAAATGCACCATCAGTTGCGTGAACCTGCTGGACACCCTTGAGCTGATCTTTGACTCCAGAGCTGTCACCACCACAATCTGGATTGTCCCAAGTCACAACCGATCCATCTGCAAGGATCGCAGCAAATGCGCGAAAAGTTGCGTGAACCTGCTGGACACCCTTGAGCTGATCTTTGACTCCAGAGCTGTCACCACCATAATCTGGATTGCCCCAAGTCACGACCGATCCATCTGCAAGGATCGCAGCAAATGCAAAAGAAGTTGCGTGAACCTGCTGGACACCAATGAGCTGATCTTTGACTCCAAAGCTGTCACCACCACAATCTAGATTGCCCCAAGTCACAACCGATCCATCTGCAAGGATCGCAGCAAATGCGCGAAAAGTTGCGTGAACCTGCTGGACACCCTTGAGCTGATCTTTGACTCCAGAGCTGTCACCACCACAATCTGGATTGCCCCAAGTCACGGGACCGGGGGGGGGGGGGGGGGTGGGGTTGTCCATCTGCGGTCGAGTGAGGTCGCCAGCAAGGGATCAAAGACCAGTTGCGTGAACCTGCTGGACACCCTTGAGCTGATCTTTAACTCCAGAGCTGTCACCACCAGAAATTCGATTGCCCCAAATCGCGACCGATCCATCTGCAAGGATCGCAGCAAATGCAAAAGAAGTTGCGTGAACCTGCTGGACACCCTTGAGCTGATCTTTGACTCCAGAGCTGTCACCACCACAATCTGGATTGCCCCAAGTCACGACCGATCCATCTGCAAGGATCGCAGCCAATGCAAGACCAGTTGCGTGAACCTGCTGGACACCCTTGAGCTGATCTTTGACTCCAGAGCTGTCACCACCACAATCTGGATTGCCCCGAGTCACAACCTGATTGCCTCCACAACACCACAATGCGATAGCACCACGTGTTGCTGCTACCTTTAGCGGTGTGGCAATGGCTGTCAGATGGTCCCCCTCTCGAAGTCCTGCAGCTTGCAGAGACTCCGTAGGATCCACCATATGATTATTTGCAGTCACAAGCCTCAAGAAGCCACACTGAAAGGATTTCTGTGCCAGAACCCTCAAGTCCCCGACTTTGGAGGACTGCGGAAGAGAAAATGTCTCACTGCGACCACTTGGCAACGCTACATTGAGTTGCAACATTTTACCAACATTCAAAACTACCGGTTCCTCCTACTAATCTGGAGCCACAATGAACCCAGTCGAGGCTTGCAAATATCGTCTCCATTCCCATGGCAAGAACAAGTACATTGCAACCGTAGATTTCAATCTAAACAGGGGAGTTTCCGGTCAGCCACGTTTGATGATGACACCGGAGGGTATATTTCATCCAACTAAGACCATGGCCCACACATTGAGTGTAAATTTCAGGAGCCTAAAATGGAGCTACTACGTTAGTACCATCATCCATATGACGGTTTTGCCAATATTTGCTAAAATTTTCCCTTGCAGAGCTCTGCAAAAAATTTGGGCTGAAGAATTGAAGTACCCTCTGGTAAACTAACAGAACTATGGAAAATCACTATTTTTAATGGGAAAACTCACTATAAATGGTCATTGTCAATAGCTACGTTAAATTACCAGAGGGTACCCACCTCCAGGTCCAATCATCCAATCCGTTCCAGTCCATGATTCCATGGCGCTCCTCCTCCTGCTGCATGATCTCTTCAGGATCACGCCAGAAGAACCTGGGGAAAAAAATCATCAAGGACTGGATGACTTTGATGTGTTTTTTCTGGGAAAATCTATGTTTAATGATGGTTAATGATGGTTAATGATGGTTAATGATGGTTAATGATGGTTAATGATGGTGGATAAACTCTATGGTTAATCTATCCGGTTGGTGGTTGGGCCCAACCCCTCGGAAAAATATGACTGAAAGTCAGTTGGGATGATGAAATTCCGAATGGAAAAATGAAATTAATGTTCCCAAGTACCAACCAGAATATGTTTGGAAATGGTAGAAACATCAACAAACATGGTGGCTTTGTCTTATTTTTCGGGCTGAAATATCTCTATGTCGGGGGTGGTGACTGACAAAAAGTCGGAGATTTCGCAGCCCAAAAAATGGGGATCCAACCTCCTAGACTTGGTTCAAGGGACTTTGGGTGCAACAACCCATGCTTTCCAAGAAAAAAACAGCATCCCCCAACTTCACTTCTCGATCCCAACAAAGATAACCACCCATTTTAGAGGAAAGTAGTCTTCCATTGCCATTGTCTATGAGTTGCTTGGGGGATAATCCCTTCCCCAAAAAATAAACACTTTCCAGAAACCATGATTTAGTAGGGGATTTACACATCTTTGGGACCCAAAAAAGAATAGGGTGTCTTTAATATGAACGGGGGATATGATTAACACTAATCATAAATATATATATATATATATGTATATATATATATAAATATATATATAAATAAATATATATTTATTTATATATATATTTATATATATATATAAATATATATATATATATAAATATATAAATATATATATATATAATATATATAAATATATATATAAATAAATATATATATATAAATAAATATATATAAATATATATATATATAAATGAATGTATATATATATAAATATACATATAAATATATATATGAATATATATATATTTATATGTATATTTATATATATACATTCATTATATATATACATATCCACTATCAATTATTACTACTATATCAACGATTATCTTCATCACTTTTGGAACATCTCCACTGAATCACGGTGGACGCCGAGCCACGAATCCACCATGACATCCCAAGGCTGCTGTCGGGGAAGGGTACCACGGAGGTACAGGACCTGGGCGGCTACTGGGATCTGGGGTGATTTGCCATAACTGGGTGAAATACCCTCTGGTTATTTAACAATTATGGTGACTTAATGGAGTTTTATGGTGACTAAATGGGATTGAATGGGTTTTTCACGGGGTTTATGGTGACTTCATGGGGTTAAAAATGGTGACTTTTCATGGGATTTAATGGGGTGTTATGGGATTTACTGGGTGAAATACCCTCTGGTAATTTGTGACATAGCTATTGAACATGGCCATTTATAATGAGTTTTCCCATGAAAAATGGTGATTTTCCATTGTTATGTTAGTTTACCAGAGGGTAACTGGCTAATCGCTGGCTTGGAATATGGATAACTAGCTTATAAGATGGATAACTGGCTTATAAGATGGATATTATCTATGTCTAACCTATGTGTATAACCTCAACTGCACACCCGATACTACTCCAGGGATTCTGGGTGTTTAGTCTTTGCAATATTGCGGATCCCTATATCCAAGGTGTTTTTTTTCTGACTTGACCAAGAAACATGGGGGTCTAACCAACCAATAACAGTTTTTGTTCTCAATAACCATGGGAATTTCGACGACCCGGGACACACATTTGGTGAGGCAAATCCTTCTCCGTCCCAGGTTGGGGAAACGATACAGGGCGACCTGGTTGATGCCATGGTCATCATCGTATATGGGATTCCTTCTAGCAGGTATAATAAAACCTAATTGGACGTGCATCCCAGTTCGTAAGTGGTTCATGATTCATAATCCAGATACTTATATATATATAGTTGCATAATAATATACATATATATATACATAAAACGTGGGAATGTTCCATATATAACTGGGCTGCATGGTTAGTGTCTGTTTATAACCTCAACTGCACCCCCATCTCCAAAAGCTGACCATCCCGACCTCACGGGCCAGGAGCCAGTACAGCAATGCGATGGACTCCTTTCCCCAACTCGCCAATGTCTGGATGACTTTGACATGAGTGAAAATGGATTGGTTTAAGGGAAAAATTACAGGAAACCATGGTTTTTACCATTAAATATGGGGCTTTCCTGTAAATTTTCCCCTAAACCAATCCATTGAATGAGTGAAAATGGATGAACATCTGATTTCCCCACTATCTCTGTATGGACCTTTTTGGGAAGATCTGGAGAAATGGGACATCGATAGAAATGAGACATATATGGATAGAAATATGGAACATCTCGAGAAAAGTTCGAACCATATGGAACAGACAATCAGGAAAAGATGGAAACCATCTTCAATGGCCATGTCAGGAACCGAGAAATATTGGAGGTACCGATTCCATATATTTTTGGCCTATTTATAAGGCCTTTTTTTTCCAGGGAATATCCCATCGACGTCAGCAACAGGAGGCATGGATGGAACATCAGGACCTTTCAGCGACGATCTCAGTCATGAAAGTACCCCCCAAATCGACCATTTTCATAGGATTTTCCATGAAACATTAGGGTATCCCCATTTATGGAAACCTCCATCTTGAGGATAATGGAGATACCCTCTGGTAAACATACAAAAAACTATGGAAAATCACCATTTTATAGCTGGGAAAATCCACTATAAATCACCATTTTCAATGGCTACGTTAAATTACCAGAGGGTAAAGAAGGTGATGGGGGTACCATGGGGTACCAATCCTTTGCATCATCCAGGTTTCGGGGCTTGTGCCAGGTTTCGACAACTGGCCTAGAGTTGGACCAGAAAATCGGTCTGGGTAAATCAGTCCTAATCCTCGAAATAAGCCTTTTTTGCGATTAGGTGATTAAGATTGATTAAGTATTTACCCAAATGAATGGCTCAATACAAAAAATAGCCACCAAAATCTAGAGTTGATCGACCACAATTGACCAACATGTTCATGTTGCTATCTAGCTAGGATACGCTAGCTGGAGAAGCTACAGAAACACCTGAAAACCTACGGATGTGACGCCGGAACATTTCTCAAGTCCGTGGCAAATCTGCATTGAACAAAACGGAATTGTGCTCACAAAAGAGAATCCCAAAACTATTCGAAAAATACACGATGATTTGTCGCGTTGCTAGATCGCTGGTCAACCTGTAGATCAGCCGCTAGCTTCCCATCTCCAATCTTCATTGGATTGTCAAAGACCTTCGAAAAAATCGGGAAGGAAAACTCCAATCTTCAAGCATCCCATCCCCATCCCCGCCCCGAATCACAACTCTCGGGACCCCAAAATATATGGCCCATGGAGTCAGACGGAGATAGAGATCGCAATCCGAGAAATCCGAAAAATCCGAACAATCTCGGTGAAATCATGTTTTCAATGGATTGGTTTAAGGGAAAAATTACAGGAAAGCCCCATATTTAATGGGAAAATCTATGGTTTCCTGTAGATTTTCCCTTAAACCAATCCATTGAAGTTTTTGATCCGTGAAAGCCTGGATGACCAAACCCCTCGCGGCTCCTTTCCCTTGTTGTTGGCAGGGATGGCCACATCCACATTCTCCAGGGGACTGTCGGTGTCACAGAGCGCAATCACCTCAGGTGACTGGAATTTCGGCCATGGCCAACTCAATGGAATCATGGGAAAATCATGGGAAAATCATGGGAAAATCATGGGAAATGCCGTATCAATATGGAAAATCCATGGGGATATCATGGGAATATGGTTCAAAAGCCTAGTTTCATGGGATTTATACCGGATTTAAGCATCAAATATAGGAATTACTATTAGTTGACCCTTGAGCAGTGTTCAAAACCCCACTCTACGGAGTAATAATTCTCAATAATGGGCTACAATGTGGTAAACCCCTGTGTCATAAAACATCCCCCAAATCACAATTTTTATCAACCACACCCAATTGGTAGGTTTATGATGGTTTATGGCATTGGGTTGCCCGGATTATACCAATTACAGAAACAAACTGTTAAGATCTATTAAGCATCCAAATTGTCAAAATGTTTTGCAAACAACATGCCGAAATATTGATTCGTAAATTGTGGTTAAACCACTGGGGATACTTAGCAACTGCACAAAATCTGTGATAATACGTGATTGTCCAAAAAATGCAGCCAATAACAAACATATAGTAATATAAAGCCAAACATGGAGTATACTCAAACTCGATAGCTCTTCTTTTTGTTTCATAGTGAATGGGTGGTGTTTCCACGGTGCTCCTGTTGCTGACATGGATTTCCACGGTCCTATCAGAACAAAGATCGTCCCATGCCAACCACGTTTCGCTCAGCTTCAGATATGGCAGTGTGTCAAAACCTTGTACCCCTGGTGAACATCAAAATAGCTGGTAAATGGATGTTCATCCCCCTAAAAATGATATTAATAGGTATTGATCCAAACCCAATTGGAAAGCCCAGTAAAAAGGACCAACTTATTTTTCGTTGATGTTGAGGTCCCTCCATTTGAGGGAAATCCCCTGCTAAACTTGATACGTCCAGGCGTTCACATTTTTTCGGCCATGGCGAAAAAACATGGGGTACCAGTCGACCAACAGAATTTCTGTCATGTTCAGTGTGATGAAGCTGATTCTGTTCGGATGTTCCTATGATTGATCGACAATAGTGGTTATATCCCACTTGAAGCACTTAGCAATAAGCTAAAGTTTTTTTGCCTACATGGGTAAACCGTCCATGTTGTGGGTTGAATAAATGTGACCCATAGCCCCGCAGGTCGGACATATTATTATCATCACTATTATTGTTCTCAGTTATTATCGTCACAGTGATCATCATCATCATCATCATCATCATCATCATTGTCAAGCATTCCGTCATATTACGCGCTGGCAATCAAACATGGCATGCTGGAAAATCTACCGTTTAGTTATCATTACATAGCAATACTGTTATTTGTCTATCAATATGAAAAGATATGGACAACTTAATGAAAGAATGTTGATATCAAAATGATAGATAAAGTCTTGATAAAATAATTTTCAGTAGTAATTTTCTATCATCTAGCCATCTAGATTACATATCTATATATATATATACTGTATGTAGAAATCCAGTCACACCATCCATGGTTTTCGTTCTGTCTTCCCCATCGCAAGCTTTCCGTCGTGGCACAGGAATGCTGGCATATGCCGCTTCCTTAATGGCCTGGTGATCGGTGCGGGGGTCCTGCGGGACGCAACGTTCAGATTCCCACGGGGTGATTTCGCAATGGACTGGAAGTGATCTGAAGAAATAGCAGTTTTGTATTGAAGAAACTCTGAAACTTGTATTGGACTTTGGATTTGGGATGTTCACAAACAATGTTTTCGAGTCTTTGATGTATTTTTCATGGGTGAGTTAGATGGGTGACTTTCTGCCAGTGAGGATTGGCGCACAGTGGGACCTTTGTAAGACATTCTAAAGTTTTTTTTCCTCAAAGATGGTGCACGCTGTTTTGCAAAGACAAAAGTCAAGATCTTTAACACTTTCCATACCTGACTTCCAGGCTTTACCCTTCTATTTGATGGCGACACGTATGGATTTCCTGAAAAATCTCTGCCAAAAAAACAAGTCATGCCACAGCGGTCCGTGACGATCAGAAGTCGGGGCTCCAAATACTTCTGGGTGATCTGGTTGGTCAGGGTGCCTCTGCGCGAATGCGAATCGTTCATCGAATGCTCTCAGTTTGGGGGTTCGAAGCATCTTAGGAGTATATTAGCCTGTATTTAGATACATACGTGTATATATAATATTATATACTGTATATACATAGAGATACATCTATATAATATTATATGTTGCATATGTGTATATATATATATATATGTATGTATGTATGTACGTACGTACGTACGTATGTCTGCATGCATGCATGCATGCATGCATGTATGCATGTATGCATGTATGCATGTATGTATGCATGTATGTATACATGTATGCATGCATGTATGCATGTATGTATGCATGCATGCATGTATGTATAGATACGTAGGTGTGACGGTTACTAACCACTTCCGATTCTTGTGATAATCCTCTGGAAACACAAACCATCAGTGCAGTTTCCCCTCCATTTTTCGACCCAAAAACATCATATCAACCATATATCAATCATATCCATTCCTAGATCCCAAGAAACTTAGGTGTATTTCTCCTCCATCAAAATTCATATTTTGGGAGTCATATGGATCCGCCCCAAAAAGTTGGGTCGTACCTGGAGTCCATCGGCCGGCCAAGGGGTTGGCTCCAGTGTACCTGAAAAGGCAGCTGATCTTCTCCGTATCCCGATGAGATTCCATTGAAATACCTTTGATATCACCAGTATTTTTCGATGTCCACTATGCAACCATCTAAATGTCACTTCCCTCCACCAAGCTTGTGTCGAACAAAAAAGACTGCCACCAAAGGCCACCGAATTACTTTAAAAGCAGGTCACAACGGCTGTTAACTTCCTTCGATAATACCATTAGACCTACTAAATCCCATGAAAAATCTCATGAAACCACATCAAGCACCATGAAAAAAAAACATAAACAGTAAATACCTCATTTCAATCACATTGAGAACCCTCACAGCTGACTTTCATCATCTTTCACCACCTAAATTGTCACTGGCTGAACTTCAAGACCGCGCGGGATCCGTAAGGTCTCTGAGACGCCACGATGATGTCCTGGACAGCCAATGCCCGGATGGGAAGAACGCAGCCATTTTTGGGGGCAAGGTGGTGCGTCGCTTCGTTAACTTCATTTTTCCCGTTTGGGTTGTGGTATATCGAGCTAGTTATTATGATTTATACTTACTAGAAAAAAATGGTGGTTTAACGGGATATTCATGGGGATTTCATGGTCTTTTCATGGGAATCAGATAAGAAGAACCCATTGTATTCATCAGATCATCCGTGAAAAAAATCACAATAGCATGGTTGATTTGATGCCCCCAGTCCGATGGATCTCGCTAAAATAAGAACAATAACACTAATAATAGTGATAATAATAATGATGATAATAATAATATTATTATAACAATAAACTAGGAATAAAAACAACAACAACAACAATAATAATAATACTGCAAAACCCTGAGGTTTGCCCGGACTCGCGACGAGCGTCCGGGCAAGCCAAGATGACGACGACGATGATGATGATGATGAAGATTTTGACATCTTCGTGAAACCCTAAAAGAAACCCTAATGATTGTATGGTTGATTCCATATGATATGTAGAAGCAACATGTTTTGGTTATATGATATGTAGAAGCAACATGTTTTGGTTATATGATATGTAGAAGCAACATGTTTTGGTTATATGATATGTAGAAGCAACATGTTCTGGTTAACACCCTAGCAACAAAATTGAACATAAAATCCTTCCCGTTGTCTGACGTCCCGCAGAATTCCCTGGTATTTACTCTATTCTGGGCTTGGGCAAACCTCGGTTTCTGTGTAATAATAACAACAATAACAATAACAATAATAATAACAATAATAATAATGATAACAATAATGGTAATACCAACAGTAACAATATAATTCCCCAACCTGAACATAGCCAACATTTTCGGCCGTTTGGGCGAAGATTTCCCCGAATCCTAATCATCATTCCAGTGACGTCTCAGTGAGGTCATTATAATTCATCAGAATGGATTATGGTACTTAGATCTGCATCCCACTTAATAAGTGGTTTATACTACAACGCATATTTCATCCCATATCATCCAGTGGAAAAAATGTTACAAAATTATTCCATCATATTCTATCTTCCAAACTGGGGTGTTGTTCACATTTTTCAGCCATTGACTAAGGCCCTTTATATCGCCCCAAGTACTCTCTGGTAAACTAACATAGCGAACTGGAAAATCACCACTTTTAATAGGTAAATCAATTAGAACTGGGCCATTTTCCAGTTCGCAAACTGTTAACTTACCAGGCCGGGTAGTTCATCACTCTGTGTGAAAGCCACGCAGCCTGAGAGTTCTCAATGGCCACAATAATCCGAGCGGCAGCCTGCAGCCTCGCTTACTCGATACGAGAAGATTTTGAGGACTCGGAAATCCACCAGAACGCGATGATATGATAAAGATACCCGGCCTGGTAATGACTAACAGTGATTTATAGTGATTTATAGTGGATTAATGGGATTTATAGTGATTTAATGGGATTTTATAGTGATTCAACGGGATATTAATGGGATATACCCGGCCTGGTAATGACTAACAGTTTGCGACATAGAAAATGGCCCAGTCGAAATAGTCGATCTAGCCATTTTTTCAATGGTGGATCTTTCCATAGTTTTTTGTTAACGTTTACCAGGCCGGGTATAAACCCATATTTCAACCCATAATTCACCATGAATATCCCCACAGCCATGGGCATTCAGAATTAGCTGCTATAGCTATAAAATGGTGTGTTTCAATAGCTATGTTAAACTACCAGAGGATGTATACGTATATATCTATATATATATATATATTGTAGATGTAATGGGATGTTAGGGATAATATAATGGAATATGATGATATAGCGGATATAATGGACGATATTTTCATGTGTTTTCCAACCATACTACTGCGGGGGTCTAAAGGGATATAATGGATGATACGGTGGATGAAATGATGGATGATTGACAGATGACATGATGGGATGTAGCCAGCAATTAGATATTTGGGTTTGTCCAAGAATGGTGAAATTATGTAGTAGAGTGTGTGGGCATTTTAATTGTGATATTGTGATACATACCCTCCAGTAAATTAAGGTAGACCACAAAGCGTCTATCAATGGCGATTCTTTACGGTGCTGGGATATAGAATCAAGATTATGGGTGTGTTTGAAACTGGAGTATAACTTAGTATAACTCAATATAACCGCAAATGCACCATTTAAATGGCAAGAATGAGATAAAACCTTGTTCTTGTTTAACATTTTCAGGGATGGACCCCATTTTTTTTACTGCTGGTCATTGAAAACTATTCCGACGTCCAAAAATAAAATCGTCTTATCTCATATTGTCGACCCATGCAGTTGGCTTTAAATATGTTTCATACAGTAAAACCCAGCCATCTCCATTTCATATATTTCTAGTTCCATGGAAAAATAAAACTCATGTTCCAAACCACCAACCAGTCCATCAATATTTAAATGCATGGTTCATATAGTAAATCCCAGCCATTGGTTTACTGGTTGGTGGTTTCAAGCCTGAAAAATGATGGACTTCATCAGATTGGATGTTCATCCCAACTGGGGAAGTCATCAAAAATTCCGTTCCCAAACCACCAGTCATTGTTGATGAAGCCACCTTTTTGTTTGCTGATTAAACCTTCATGGATCAGCCTTTCATATACCTATACAATACCTTATATACCTACATATTTATAGATGATTTTGTTGGGGTAGCCCTGTGACTATCACTAGTTTCGACATCATGAAGGATTTTTACATCCACTAGTTTCTCCTAAGTTGCTTCTCCCAGGACTATCATTAGTTTCGTGACTATGATGATTATTGGATGTGACTATGGATCAAGCCATTGGTTTCGGTTTCGTTTTTTTTTTCCAAGTTATAAACCATAGTTATTGGAGTTATAAACCAACTTAGCTATCTTGGGGGCCTCACATTGTACATATTTATAGATGATTATTGGGGTAGCCCTGTGACTATGGATCCAAGTTGCTTCTCCCAGGTCTTCCCCAGGTGGATGATGTGAATTCCATCCACCGTGCGACGGAAGACGTAGCGCTTCATGCGGTAGTCCACGTTGCGAGTTCCCAGGTGGGTCTTGCAGACCTTGGAGCGGCCAAAAAGGGGGAAGGTGGTACCCCCCAGTGATGTGAATGTTGGTTATAAATTATAAACCCCAACAACTATAGTTATATCTACCATTAACTATAATTATATCTACCATTAACTATAGTTATATCTACCATCAACTATAGTTATATCTACCATTAACTATAGTTACCATCTGGTTATTTGACATAGCCATGGAAAATCACCATTTCTAATAGGTAAACCATCTATAAATGAGCCATTTTCCATGGCTATGTTAAATAACCAGAGGGTATATCTACCATAAACCATAGAATTCAGCCACTTGTAAGGCAACTGTTTGTTGCTTTACAAATCCTATTAACTATAGATATCACCTCCAGAAAGCCTAGGAAAAAAAGGACTTATAAATCAACTTAGCGATTCCGAACTGGGGCACCACCTTGTAGGTGAAATGGACATGTGCAAAACGAAGAGATGAGATTCAAACCAATTCAAACCATGCTGTGAACCATCAGTTGAACCATGAGGCAAAAATCCCTGGATTTCTGTGGATTTCCCAGGGTGAACTACGAAGTTTTTGGGTCTTAACAATTCTTACCCGGCCTGGTAAACATACAAAAAGCTATTGAAAATGGCCATAGAAATAGTTGATTTACCCATTGAAAATGGTGATTTTCCATAGTTATATTAGTTTACCAGAGGGTATCACTATGATTAAATGATTACTAGTGATCACTTCCTATCAACGAAATTTTTACCGATCGCCACCGTGCATCAATGCATAGGGGGATAGAAACGTAGAAATGACAAGCATGTGTGCACCCGGCCCGTACTACTGGCAAGAATCAAATTATGAGTATGTTTCGCTACAGTGATGGTCAGTCCAGTGAAGTTATCCCTTGCCCGTAGTATCAAATATCAGCCAAACCCTGGTTTAGTCTTGGGTAGATTCTTTTTTTTTTTGGGTGCACAAAATTGGGGGTATGAAAAATGTTGGGGCTGGAATTCTATTGTTACCCTCTGGTAATTTAACATAACTATGGAAAATCACCATTTTTAATGGGAAAATCCACTATAAATAGCCATTTTCAATAGCTATTTTGACATAACCAGAGGGTATACCATGTCATAGCAATCTTGGTTTCCTGCAAACTTCAGGTTGGTCCTGTCAAAAACGGGCGAGCCAAGAGGCCAACATCATCTGCACATCTTCTTCCTGCGGGATGGGAAAACTGAACCGCCCCGCCAAACATCAAAGTGACAGGATTTACAGTGGTCAACTTGTTTTAACTTGTTTTATACATGACCAAACCGCCAGAACTTCTTGTGGAATCTGCTTGAACAGTTGGAATGAACAAATATTGATCAGAAGGGCACTGATGGGCACTGTCTCCAAAATAGGGTGCCATATGCAATGTAACGCAACGCACTTTGTCACGACAAAACTCAACGTAGCGAAACGTGTCATCTATACAGATGCTATATTTGCATCCCATCATCTATCCCTCATAGTGTGCAGGGTAATACGTATATCCGTATATGCAACATATCGTATATACATCTACAAACACATGCACGTTTATATATATGTAAAAAAAAACACATAGATACTATATCAATTCATCATTTAACACATATATATATACCATCTGGTAATTTAACATAGCTATTGAAAATGGCCATTTATAGTGGATTTACCCATTTAAAATGGTGATTTTCCATAGCTATGTTAGTTTACCAGAGGGTATATACAAATATATTATCATATACACCTATTATATCTCCATGCCATCGCTGGGGAGACCCCTCCACCTTGCTGGCCGCCATGTTGAAGCGCGGTTCAGCTGCGGACGGAACGAGCTGTTGGACCCTTGAGCCCACGCCGAATACGCCACGGAGAACTTCGTCTGGGGGAATATTTTTTTGGTTGGGACAAAAATACCATGGAGAGAGATATATATATATATGATTATCACCTATGAGCAACAGCTGCTGGGGAAATTTTATAGCCATGATATATCTGGGTAAATTAAAATAATTCACTAACCTGAATAGTTGGGCCATTTGGGGATGATTTCCCGAATCCTAACCATGATTCCAGTGAGGGAGAACAGTGAGGTCGCTATAATTTACCCAGATGGACATATATGATGAGTACCTCTGAGGATATATGATATATACCATGGAAAAAATGTGTTTATAATGCAAATGAAGAGGTTTATAAATAGTTTATAGTTGTACATGATATATGCAATGTGGGAAAAAACAATGCCATAAACTTGCCATGATTGGGAATGGCTTCTATGGTTTATACCACCTATAAAAATGGTGATGACTGGGGGATGATTTATGACATTGTTTTACCACATTAATGCGTATAATTATAGTATCATTATGTATACAGTATACATGTATATGCCTACGGCCGGAAAACCGTACGTGCGTTTTGCTACTTTTTTGCGTATTGCTGCTGGTGTGGGGTGGGGTGGGGTGGGGTTGGGGTGGGGTGGGGGGGCATGTTAACGTTCCTTGTACTTCGTGCATTATATATTGCTACGTTGCTAAGATCTCTGGGATCGTGTGCTACGTTACATGTTGCTACGTTGCTGAGATCTCTGGGATCTTTTACTACGTTACATTTTGCTACGTTGCTAAGATCTCTGGGATCTTTTACTACGTTACATGTTGCTACGCTGCTGAGATCTCTGGGATCTTTTACTACGTTACATGTTGCTTCGTGGCAGGCTGGGTGTACTGAAAGTGCGCACAGGGAAGATAGACTCTCTGTGGAATTTGGCTAAACAATTTGTGCCTAGCAATTTGCAGACAAAGGCAGGGCAGAACAAAGATGTCATGCTATACCTGCGTTGCTGGCAGTGGCGTTATGAAGGCCATAATGGCAAATTGCTGTCAAAGACAGCTTCCAAACTGAAGGATCGCTGAGCCGACGATGGGTGTGTAAAAAACTCGTCGAATCCACATCTGATGCACGTGGTATTCGCAGGGAATTCTCAAAATTCAATAGATTTTGCATCCACTTTTTTTGACCAAAATTCAATTATCAAACGAGTTCGGAACAGCATTTTATGCTGTAAATTACAGGTGATTCTGACTCTCCTGGAAACAAACAATCAAAACGCTCGCGCGGTTTCCCTTCCGCCGGGATGTATATGATTGTATATGTACATATGATGACATGTAAATTCTATTAAATTCTACTAGCTCATTGATTGAGGTATGTGGTGATAAATTGAGATGAATGGGGCAACATTATGTCCCATATCCGAATTCTAAGTGGTAAGAAGCCAGCTGCGAAGGATTCTGGATTCGTACGAACTGGAAACGATCCACTATACATATTATGGTGGTTTCCATAAATGGGAGTAGCCCAAAATGAATGGTTTATTTCATGGAAATTCCAAAAATCAAATGGATGATTTTGGGGGTACCCCCATGACCTGGAAAACCTCCATATATCATCATCTACCTAGATGCGTCATGACTACCTCCTTCCAACTTTACTTTAACTAACTAGGTCAACCACTGGGTTTTTCATATTTACAAGTAGATTCAAGGTCATTTGTGACATAGCTATTGAAAATGGTCATTTATAGTGGATTTTCCCATGAAAATTGTGATTTCCCATTGTTATGCTAGTTTACCAGAGGGTAGATTCAAGGTAATATCGTAGCTTTTCGGGTTCCTTCCGCTCCATCTCTTTCGGGATCACACACCACCCATTTGTCAAGGTCTGACACAAGAAAACATCATCCTCGCCTGCAGGGGACCGGCCTGGGCGGAAAAGGGATTTGGAACTATAGTACTCCCTCCCTCCCCCAAAAAAAAGATGGAAACCGTTCAATTTACTACTACTATGTTGGTAGGGTTTTACTTTTCTATTTTTTTTGTACTGAATTGTAATCGTCTATAATCCCAGCTTCCGATCATACTGAACACCCAAACTTCAGTGGATCTGTTCACATTTCAGGGTCCCATTATATAACGCTGGTGTGTTCTAAGGGGGTTGGGATGATGTTTGCCAGTCTAGGCGTTCCACCTTCGGGACAATGTGTATTAAAAAACAGTGTTTGGAGCATCCCCTGCACCGGATATCCCAGGAAGCGCTCGTGAAGGGGACCACTAGGCCACTAGGCTGCCCCAACGCATCAGGCTTGCTTTCGCAATGGAAGCGCAGATTACACGCCTTGGCTGCCTTGGCTTTGAAAGTTGGTCCGTTGGTTTTTTTTGGGGCTACATCCCAATAGATCCCTAGATCGGGGAGTCACAAAGAAGTACCTATAGGAGAGCTTGGTTGTTGTGAATCCGGGATGGCAGAGCGAAGCCACTGATGGACTGAAAGGTGCTTGATCTCTCTCACTCTTTCTCTCTCTCTCTTTCTCTGACTATCTACCTACCTACCTATCTATTTTCTATGTATCTATCTATCTATCTATCGATCTTTCTAGTGTAGTGTAATGTAGTGTAGTGTAATTTAGTGTAGCGGTGTGTAGTGGAGTGTAGTGGAGTGTAGCTGTGTAGTTCTGTAGTTGTAGTTGTAGTGTTGTGGAGTGTAGTGTAGTGTAATGTACTGTAGTGTGTGGAGTGTATAGTGTAGTGTAATGTAGTGTAGTGTAGTGTAGTGGAGTGTATAGTGTATGTAGTGTAATGTAGTGGAGTGTAGTGTAATGTGGCGTAGTGTATTGTAAATTATATAATGTAGTGGAGTGTAGTGGAGTGTAGTTGTGTAGTTCTGTAGTTGTAGTTGTAGTGTTGTGGAGTGTAGTGTAGTGTAAGGTACTGTAGTGTAGTGGAGTGTATAGTGTAGTGTAATGACCCGAAGCGAAGCGAAGCGACATCTGAACCTCCAAAAGTGGTCCGAACCCCTCGTGTTTTGTACATTTTGACTTCGAAATGTGCTTTGCGCCACAACGGCGTGCACTTTTTCGAGATCTGAACCTCCAAAAGTGGCGCGAACATGTGGTGTTTTGTACAGTTTGACTTCGAAATGTGCTTCGCGCCACAACGGCGTGCACTTTTTCGACATCTCAACTTCCAAAAGTGGTCCGAAGCTGGTGTGTTTTGTACATTTTGACTTCGAAATGTGCTTCGCGCCACAACGGCGTGCACTTTTTCGACATTGCAACTTCCAAAAGTGGTCCGACAATGGTGTGTTTTGTACGTTTTGACTTCGAAATGTGCTTCGCGCCACAACGGCGTGCACTTTTTCGACATTGCAACTTCCAAAAGTGGTCCGACAATAGTGTGCTTTGTACATTTTGACTTGGAAATGTGCTTCGCGCCACAACGGCGTGCAATTTTTCATCTCTCCTCTGGCCAGCTGGCTCCGCACCCGCCGCTTTAGCGAGCCTACTTTTCGACCCTCCGGAGCCCCAAATCATTGGAAAAACACAGTGTTTCGCGACTTTCCTACCTTTTCGCGCACCTCTGATCTTTTCTCTTCTGACTCTTCTCCCTGCTGACTGCTTTCATCTCTCCATATTGTCGGAAGTTTGACTTCCAAACTTCCTTCGATAAATTCTCCCATCCGTTTCAATTCTTCATGGGACTTTCAATAGCAATTTTCAGCGCTGGAAACGGGTCAAGTCCCTATTCAGCCCACGGCTGTCGCCATAGTGGAGCGAAAGCCACATGGCGAAGTGGCCGCAATGACGACTGCTGCTCCGTCCTACCCACTACCCTCTGGTCATACGAAAAACAATGGAAAATCACCATGTTTAATGGGTAAATCAACTATTTCTATGGCCATTTTCAATAGCTATGTTTAATCTGGTTGTTGGTTTCAACCCCTCTGAAAAATATGAAAGTCAGTTGGGATTACTATTCCCAATATATGGAAAAAAACATGTTCCAAACCACCAAGCAGTTAATGATCAGAGGGTACTTTGGCTGGTGTTTCAAAAAGCTGTCTCTTGTTTCATGCTGTTTCTCCAAAAAGCTTGGTATCGCTTGATCGCCGGCGAGCGAGCTGTGGGATCTATCGCTTTGGTCGCTCGACCATCCCCTGCCATTTGAGGGGATCATTTTCGAAGCACAGTTTACAACATGGAAAATCGCAGTGTCCGAAATCGGGAATCCAAACAACCCAAACCACCAAAAATCACAAACTGATGAGCTTCGGTTTTCACGGCCTCAAACTGATCCCTTCCCAATGTGTGCCGAAAAAAATCGTGGAATGTATTGGATCCAGTATGATCTATTCATGGCCCTTGTAAGATAAGCTACAAACCGGGTACACTCGGTTGCTTCAATGTGAAATACCCTCTGGCAAACTAACATAACTACTACATAACTATGGAAAATCACCATTTTCAATGGGAATATCCACTATAAATTGTCATTTTCAATAGCTATGTTAAATTACCAGAGGGTACCAAGTGCTTAATGCCATGGCACTTCAAAGGGGACTAGTCCGGGCCATTTTTCTCGTGCAATCCTCTCCTGACGCAATGTGTACCTTAGATCTAATAGCTAATAAATACATCCGGAGAAACAACTAAAAAACGCATGAAGTCATATAATAATAATAATTATTATTATACATAATTTTCCGCAACTATCCAAGAAAAATCCCTTAGGGAAAGCACACAGAAACCTCTCAGGGCGAACATATTTTTTTGCAGCCGCCCCTCATTGAGTCGGCCTGCGGTGTGACAAATGGGGACGGGGGAGTTACGGCTATCCGTCCAAGTTAGCAATGGGCAATTGATCTAGATCCCCAATTGTAATCTGGTTGGTGGTGAAACAACTCCTCTGAAAAATATGAAAGTCAGTTGGGATGATTATCCCATAGATTATGGAAACTAAAATTCATGTTCCAAACCACCAATCAGTAATAAGTTAGCAATGGAAAATTGATCTAAAACCAAAGAATGAAAAGCAGGAACATCATCTAGAATGGTGAAGTTCCCATTATTGAATTCAAAGTGGAAAACCTCGGAATCATAGATCTTCTTCCAGCCAAAGAGTTTCAGCACTGGGGATTTTAGGTTGCAAAACGATGCTCCGTTTTTTTTGTCGCTGACAACACATGGATTTTTCACCATCCCGATGTTGTTTTTTTTCCTGATGGAATACACAGATTTGGTAAATTTTAGGGATTTGATAGAAAAATAGAGTTTTAGTATATGTATATATATATATAAGTTATATATATATATAAGTTATATATATATATACACATGTAATGTTTTCGTATATACCATCAATGGAGGGGGGGTACCCCATTGCCAGAAATCCTGGGGTAACCTTTGATCCATTTCTGGGGAGGAGATCCTGCGGACCCCTTTTTTCTTCGACCGGGCAATGCATTGGCAAATCTGAAACTGGAGGACCAAACGTACCCCGTGCCCCGCAAAAAATCTCGTTGCTGGGTGCTGTTGGGGAGTTTGAAATCGAATATTCAATAGTTATAAATAGTTATAAATAGGTGAAATTATATGACGAGGACTGCATCTTCGAACACGTTTTTGTACCGCAGTTGTCTTTTGATTCTCCCGACGTTTTTTTCGGGGCTACCGCTGAAATTCTGACAGATTCCCAAATAGGATGGTGAAGAATCTAAACAGAAACCACCGATGATCATAAAACAAAAACTCAGGATTTGCACCGGGTTCAAATTTTTGAGTCAAGCCCACATAGATCATTTATCCTGGGTTCAAATCCTGAGTTTTTGTTTTATCAAAATCTGAACCCCGTTCAAATCCTGAGTTTTTTAAATCAAAATCTGAACCCCGTTCAAAATCTGAACCCCGTTCAAATCCTGTTTTTTTAATCATTCAGGTGTTTCATGTCCAGCTACCCCCTGAAATCAGTTATCTGAAGCTGAACTAAGATTGCTATTTCGGGTGTAACCCCTACCATTGACACACCATGACACACCTATCAAATCCTCAGCAATTGGCAACAAATTACCGTTTTGCTGACCATTAATTATAGGACCCCCAAAACAAGATAGAACAATAATGTGTAGTAGGACTTGATTCTAGTAGGAGTTGACTAGTCTGGGGCTTCATAAATCAAATTAAAACGATTTTAGAAGGAGTTGCCTTTTCTATCTTCAAGAGGGGGTTGCTAGAAGCATTCACCAGCCAATCTGTGGAAAAAAAATGCGAACCTCCACTTTCACGTGAAACTCTTCAAACACCGACTTTAAGGTGTACGGAGACGTCTCTTGACGAGCGGATGGCTTTGCGGAAGGACTATCCTAGCAGGCACCGAAGATTCAATCACATGTTCATACATTGATTGTCTGGTTGGTGGTCTCTGAAAAATATTAAAGTCAGCTGGGATTATGAAATTCCCAATATATGGAAAGTCATAAAATTCATGTTCCAAACCACCAACCAGTTATACACTGGTACCAACTACTAGTGAAATCCCTGCTGTCACTTGTCAATGCTATATCAACCCGTCTGGATTACAATACTTCGCCGAAAGGTGTCGTAAAATGGGATAGTTGCTGTTACCTCGATTTTTTGCTCCCATTCCGTCGTGACGTCGCAACGTGAGGATGGTTGATTTTTCCAGATTTTAGATGGATAATGGTTCTACCAACTATAAACGGGTTAGAAGGGGTAATGAGGGATTGCAATGGCTATTATTTGCAATGGCTATTATTTTTAGTTTCTGAACTGTAGTGGCTGAACCGCACGTAGTTGCTGAACCGGGTGTTGCTCTTTAGAACACCACCTTCCCGGCGATAAAAAAATTGCATTTGTGCAGGTAAAACCCAGGTGGATTACAAACCACAACCATCAACACCATTATTTCACATCTCAAAACCATGCGCATCATATACCCAGGAATCACCAAACAATAGGTGGGTTTCTGCAAATATAGGGAACTCCCATAAACCATGGTTTCAGCCTGGCTTACCCCAATATTAAAGCAGCAGTTGGTGGCATTTCATTCGGATCATGCCAGTGGAATCCCAGTGATCACCAGGGGAACAGCACCCTGGAAAGTGGATGATCTTGTACTGGAAATGGCCGGAACCCGCGGATTGTTACAGAGTTTTTGTGAAGACTCCATATCTTGACGACTGCCTGCGGATCTTGTTTCCTGCATCTGCCAAGTGAAATTCGACAAATCATAGATGCTCAGCCCCCACTGCGGAAGCAAAGACATGGGAAAATTCTGGCATGTAAGTGGATGGCAACTAGCTGGTACGACAAAACACAATTTTCACCTCCTGTTTCCGCAACCAAACAGTAGGAACCAGAAAGCCTGGCGTATGTACAGTGACAGCCCTGCAGATTTGCTTCAGACTCTACTGCTTCAGGCCCGAAGCCTCGCCTCCAAAGACAGCCCAGAACACGCCGAATCACGTGAATTCACGGTGTTTAATGACTGGATTTTACCCTCTGGTAAACTAACATAGCTATGGAAAATCACCATTTTTAATGGGAAAATCCACTATAAATAGCCATTTTCCATAGCTATGTTAGTTTACCAGAGGGTAGGTTTCGTGGATGGGTGAACCATCAGGAGTATTTTGCCTGTGGAGTTACCATTAGTTTCAAACATCACTGCTCTAATTTTTTGAAAAGCGACTTCGAGCAGGCAGATGGTCTAACAATAGATCATGTTTCTTGCAGAACTCTCCCAAACCTCAACAAAAAAACATGTTCGTCAAGTGATCCCCGCCAGCTGACATTTATCTGACATATATTCTGGCGTTCTAACAGACATATATATATATATATTCTGGCAGTTCATCTGATGTATATTCAGGCAAATTCTCTGACGAATATTCTGGTGTATATATATATATATTGTCTGACTTTCTATCTGGCATTTATCTAGCATCCTATCTGACATATTTTCCGACACATATATATATATATCTATCTATATATATATATATATCTATATATATATATATCTATATCTATATCTATATCTATATATATATTATTCGAAATCTGGCGTTCTCTCTGGCATTTTCACTGGCCAAGCGAAAAAAGACCCGGGGAACGATGAGAACCCTGAAAAAGCCATGGCCTGGAAGACACTTTTTCGGCCGGACGTAGTGCCCTTCTTTTGATTCTCTGTGATGGTGCTGAAGAATACCCCGCAATCGATGAATGTTCATTGCCAACTTGTGAGTTACTTGTTGGACATTGTCAGCTCCTGAATTTTCACAATTTATGTGCGTTAAATCCCTATAGCTTGTTGTTTAACATCCGGCATTTCTGGTCTTACAAGCGCGTGTCATCGCTGCTGGCGCAAAACCTTTTCAACATGCCGTCGTCGTCATCATCATCATCATAATCATCATCATATGGGCGGTTCCATGAATGCTAGCATGAATGGGGGTACCCCACTACCTGGACCTTTTATAGTGGAAAATCCGAAAATGAGGTGGATGATAATCGTTGGGCAACCCTCATGACTTCGGAAACCCCCATATGGTGGTTTCTTGAAATAGTAGACCCCCAAATCATCTATGTTATTTTCGGATGTTCCATGAAATAAACCATCCAGCGTGCTATTAGGGTTACCCCTATGACTTACTGTGGATGGAAGAAATCCTGCACCAGTTGATAGGTACTTTGTTCCATTATTTATAGGGTTTTAACCATCCAAGGTGGTGCAGGATTTCTTCCATCA